TTAAACAAATCCCAAAACAAACAAAACACAAAACCCACAACCATATGCTTAAAAAGACACATCTAAGCTGTAAAGAGAAAGACTCAAAGTGAAAGGATAAAAAATGATTCTCCAAGCAAAACATTCAGAGAAAAGCAGGAATAGTCATACTTACATCTGACAAAGCAGATTTCAAGATAACAAAGGTAACAAACGACAAAGATGGATGTTTTATACTAATAAAGGGTAGTGACCACAGCAACCTCGGTTCAAATCTGAGTTACGGCACCAAGAAAGAAGAAGAAAAAATAATAATAAAGGGTATACTAACATCAAGAAGACACAACCCTTCTCAATGTACACTGAGTGGCCAGATTATTATGATCTCTGAAAGCATAGTAATATGGCCACTCAGTGTATATCCTATATAATAAAAGGCTAATATGCAAATTGTCCCTTCAACCAGGAGTTGGACCAGGAGGCAGGCCAGGCCGGCCAACGGCCCACACCCCACCCATGCATGAATTCATTACCGGGCCTCTAGTATACACACATACATACATATACACACTGAGTGGCCACATTATTATGCATTCGGAGATCATAATAAGCTGGCCACTCAGTGTATATGCACCTAATCAGGGAGCACCAAAATATATAAAGCAACTCCAAATAAAACTAAAGGGAGGAAAAAAGTTAAAGACAGTACCTGGAAACCTTTTCTGATTTGTTCAGAATAAAGCCCAGATATTCTATTTTTGAAAAGCTTCCCAGGCTTGAAAATTGCCTAGAACAGCAATTCTCAAAACCTTGGAAATTGTTAAACATTCACAGACTGAACTAGCACCCTTGGGGGTGGGGCCCAGCAACTCTGTTTAACACACCCTCCCTGTGATTCTGCCGCTCACTCAAATTTGAAACCACTGACCCAGACTATGAGCTTCTACATTCTGTATATCCAGCTCCTATAGTCCCGCAAAACCTAGCAAATTGCTTTGTGCATTGTCATACCTCAGTAAATGCTTGCTCAATTTAATTTAACAGTGAATGATAAAGCAGAAATGAGCACTGGGGCACTTGGAGATGATTACTCTAAAGGTAGCAGCTAAAGCATCACTCTGACTTTCTAAAGTAAATAAAAAATTTATTTTAAAAGCAATAAAGAAAGTCAGATTACTCAGGTTAGTAAAAGCACTGTTGTCCCAAAAGGGATCTTATGAGCTTACAGTTTGTTAAGTCACTGTCCATTGAAAATATGCAATAACTTATGTAAGCTATTGGACTAGTGGTTTAAAAATTAATTCTGTGGTTCTGGGAAGCAATGCACAGCAATTACAAAGCTGTTTGTATCATGAAAGATCTACTTAGAAAACACAGCATTCATGTGGCAGGGATGTGGCCCAGATTTGATGAGGATGGCCAGATTTCAGAAGAACACTTTCTAGGTAGCATCTGGAAAGATAAGATGCCTATAAAGAGAATGAGCTGATCAATTTACCTACTGAATAGAAAATGAAACCCATAAATCCAGTTTTATGCAACTGTTTTCTATCTTGAGAAATTAAACAGTTGAAGTTACTCTAGGATGGAGGATCTAGTCCCAGCCTCACTACATGCCTTTTCTAATTGGCATCCTGAAAGATTACAGAAAAAGGTGTTGCTTTGGTATTGTTGACTTAAAGGTTATCTAGTCACAGAGAGGCAGGGGAGGATTCATCTTCAAAATTCATCTATTTATTGAAAACCCATGGAGTGCCTTGGCAATTAACAATTCCTACCACCTCTAGCTGTTCCCTATGTGAGAAGGCTCCGAACTCTTCTTACAAATTGCTCTTTTGAAGATCAAAGGGAAGCTGAGTGTGTCTGTGGGTGTGCTCCATGAGACTGTAATTTAATGGGTTTTTAGAGAAGGCTTGCTGGCAGTGTTTGGATGACAGCCCTGGGGCAGAGGATTCAGGGGAGCTTGGCCACTCTTCCCTTTGGAGCGTCTTCCCTGTCTTTAATTGGCACCTCATTAGAAATTAATGAAAATGACATCCTCTGTTCTTCCTGCTCTAGGCATCGAATGCTACAAAAAGGCCCATCACAATTCATAACACATTCAATTTATATAGCAATGGCTCTTAAACATTATTTATGAGATGTGAATTTCTTGTCAGCAGTTAATAACCTGTACAAAGTTGAAGAGGAATGGAAAAAAAGGTTGTGTGTGTGTGTGTGTGTGTGTGTACACACACACACACACACACACACACACACATTTTCTGCAGTGGAGAAGTGTGCTGATTGAGTTCAAACTATGTTCCTGAGTCGTCACTTTCAGTAGTGAGTTATTGCAACACGCGCCCCCCCTTTACCCCCCCCCCCTCCATAAAACCTTTTGGGGCAGTTAATGTCTCTCTAACACTCCATGCATCCTCAAGGAAATAACCATACAATTCACCCTTTCCTGGAGACATCCAAGCAGACAGGCAGGAGAAACACAAGAGCTCTTTGTCAAAGACAGCCCCAGAGGTGTATGTTCCCATTGCTGTCCTTCATCTTTTGAAATGTGGCAGGTGACTCAGGCATTTTTCTGGGCACAGAAGTTTAATGCTCTCAGTGGTCCAAATGGAACTCCTGGCTCTCTCTAGGAAGGATACACCCGGAGGGACTGCAGAAAGCTCAAAACTTTCTTCCCCACCAGAAAAATCAAATCTCCACAAGCAGGTCCTCACAATTGGGCATAAGCCAAGGGACTACGTATTATATATACCCTTTAAAAAGAATGCACGTCTTTTGCTAAACCAATAGGCACTCCGAAATCAGCCTCCTATCCCAAGAGGTGAAGAGCAGAGCAATCCATGCTTACTAGAGACAAGCTTACCAGAGACAATCAAGTTGGCTTCACTTAGAAGCACGTGATGTATTTCTAGATTTTTTTTTTCCGCAGTGCTGAAGACCTTAGGAAAACAGGTGGTTTGCATCCAAGCTGGAAGACTTGGTTACAAGTCTCAGGGCTAAACTGGGAACTCTATTGCTTGCCTGACAAGGAGATGAACTATTATGACAGAGGCAAGATGGAACGTATCAAGGACCAACTGCTTGATACACTAAGGCAAATCCTTTTTGGTACCCAGGATTAAGTTACTTTCCAGAAGGAAAGTGAACACTAAGGTCCAGGAAAATCTCATGATTCTAATTTAGGAACAACCAAAGGTCTATGTTATAGAAGCAACAGCAAAAATGGTCAGGTAGGTTTTGCAACACTGGCAATGAACTGAACTGCTGAACCCCCCCAATAGTTCACACGGAAACCAAAGCAGAAAGGCTATGACAAAAAATCCAACTCTGCAATATGGGTAAAGGTGGTTAGCCATCAGGCCCCCGAGTTTCCTTAGCTAACCATGGTATTCCCTCCTTACCTCATCAAGAATTTAAGTTACTTCGGAGGGTTGATCCAGGAGCAGTCTATAATAAATAAAATTCTGGGCTCACCTGGGCCATGCCACATGCATCAACACAACTAAAGTATAAAAGCTCTGCTGATAGCCAGGACCGGTTTGGCTCAATGGATAGAGTGTCAGCTTGGGGACTGAAGGGCCCCGGGTTCAATTCTGGTCAAGGACATGTACCTTGGTTGCGGGCATAGCCCCAGTAGGGGGTGTGCAAGAGGCAGCTGATCAATAACTCTCTCTCATTGATGTTCGAACTCTCTATCTCTCTCCCTTCCACTCTGTACAAAAATCAATAAAATATATTAAAAAAAGAAAAAAAAAAGAAAGCTCTGCTGATAGCATCTGCCCCCACCTCTTACCCAGCCCTCCTCTTTATACTTCTACACAAGCATTTAGGAGAAAACGAAATGCCAATCTAGAAATAGAAACTTCTCCACTGACACCTAGACTCCCATGTTGCCATTAAATGTCCCCATTTCTGCAGTTGAATATATGCTTCTGATCTTGTTATTCCCCATCTCTCCCCCCCTTCTCCCCAAGTGTGCAACAGGCAGAAACAGGAGTTCCAAGTTAGTTTTCAATGAGAAGCTGGTACTCCCTTGTTTCCTTCTCATTTCCAACAGGGCAGAAGATTGAGGGACAAGAGCAGCAACAGCTGCATCTTTAGAAGATGAGGACTTGGAGTGCCTGTAACTTCCCAGCTGCTGAGAGAACCATCTAGTCCCGGTCGCCGGCTTCAGTACTTGCAGACTGGCTATGACTATCCAAGGGGTGAAAGGAAGCTTCTATAGCTCATACCCAAGGACAATGACATAGAATTCTCAGAGGCTAGACCTAGGCCTCAAAGTTGGCCTGATGACAGCTCTGTCCCATACAACAGTTTGGTAATATTAAGCTTTAAAATAGAGAAATAGGAACAGGGACAGAAAGACTCTTAAGTCAGGCTAAATGCTGCAGCTATACAATTATGTGTGGTTGAAGGGAGAGAAATGATTGGTCTAAATTTTGTTCTACTGTGGGTTTGCATAAAGTTTTTAAAAATATATCTCTGTGCAACAATTCTAAGAGTTGATATTACACTGGATAGATAATACAGAAGAGGCTACTTTAAAGTTATTTTCATGGGGTTAACTGACAAATTATGGTTCAAAGAAAATGATTTTCTAATCAAACTAATCTAAAAAGGATATGGGAGAAGAAATCTTCCATTTATTACACATAGTAAAAGACTCATTAAAAATCAATTTACTATCTGAATTTTATAGTACATATATCCCAGAATTTGGCTGGTTTGGTTAATTTCTAAATAAGTCATCAATGAGAAGGAACCAGAGTAATCAATGGGAAGAAGTTAAAGCAGTAAGCAATGACAATGCAACTTTGAAGACATGTGACAAAATAGTGGGGGGTGTTTTTGCTTCTTTGTATGTGCTTAGAACTAAAAATCCCCTACTCCTGATTTCTCAAACTCTAAACTACTGCTTTCAGGGAGGTTTCTGGAAGAAAAAGGAGTTCAGACTCTTAGAATAATTTCCAAAGCTATGACAGGACAGTCTCCGTCATGTCACTGGGGGAGATGCTTACCACAGCGGCACGATCCCAGTTCCTGCTGCACCAGCTCCAGTTTGGTTTGGCACTGGAAGCACCGACGTCGACTCTTCTGCTTAGATCGGCTGGTTTCCTCAGGTCGTTCAGTGTTCTCCAGTAGTCGTGGCCGTTTCACTGGTGAAGCCTCATTCTCAGACTGTGAATCTGACCAAAACAACACATTTGGGGTCAGGGTTAGTGGTTGGCCTGGCAAGCACAGCAATCAATGTGCTCCAGGCATTCTACTGCCCTTTTCCAGGATTTGGATCTGTGTAGCAACAGCCAGCTCTGAGTGGCCTGGTTTCTACTCCACAAAGTGTGACAAGCATGAACCTTCAGGGCTTACTTCTAATGAGCTAGATCTAAACCAGGAGAGGAGAGAGGGAATGGCTCCATAAAAGTCTGTTGTTTTTAATTAATTTATTTTATTTTTTATTGACTTTTTTTACAGAGAGGAAGAGAGATGGATAGAAAGCTAGAAATATGGATGAGAGAGAAACATCGATCAGCTGCCTCCTGCATACCCCCCACTGGGGATGTGCCCGCAACCAAGGTACATGCCCTTGACCAGAATCGAACCTGGGACCCTTCAGTCTGCAGGCCGATGCTCTATCCACTGAGCCAAACCGGTTTCGGCCAATCTGTTGTTTTTAATAATGGCTGTCTTTATGAGACCATTCAAATTAGTAATTCTTTAGAGAAGGGACTTTGTCTAGTACTTCTTTGTATTGCCATGTTTAGCATAACTCCATACTTAAAGCCAGTGTTTTGATGGGTGATCTATAATCTTTTCTAGCAAAAATACTCGTTTCTACTCCTAAATGGACAAGAATCAGTTTCTAATATTATAAGTTATTTAAGGAATGTATCCTTGCTTGTTTATCAAAGAGCTGCCTCAGGCCTCCACTGTGGAATGGCAGAGAGGTAACACTTGGTACCACAACATACCCTAGGATCGGTGCCAAATTGGCAGGTGGAGGGAGGCGTAACGTGACAACTTTTATTTCACATGACTTTAAAAAAGTAACTAAATGCAATAAAGTTCATGTTATAGGCAGGCTGGTAATAACTCTTGCCTTCCAAAGGGCAGCACTTGGGGGCTCTGTGCTCCTGGAAGTGCCCCCACTGCTTGCTGAGGATGCACCTCTTGCCAAGGTCCTGGAGTGGTTTGTGCTGAAGCACCTCTGGGAGGGAGCCTGGATGATCTTCCTTAAAACAGATCCAGATCCTTCCACTTCTCACCCCTCTACCACCTCCAACACTGGTCCATTTCACCACCATCTCACCCAGCCTAGTAAAACAGCTGCCTCACTGGCCTCCCTGCTCACCTCCTTACAGCAGATTCTCCACACAACAGTCAAGTGATCCAGTTCAAAATAAAGTTAGAATTACTTCACTTCCTTGCCTGAAACCCTCTCATAACTTCCCGTCTCAGAATAAAAGTTCAGATTCTTACTGGAGACCTTCAAAAGTCGCTGTCAGATGTGCCGTCCTCTCCTCTCTCACCTCATCTCCTGCTGCTCTCTCCACACTGGCCTCCTCATTGTCTTACCTCAGGGCCTTTGCACTTTCTGCTCCCTTTGTCTGGAACACTCTTCACCCAGATCTATATGGGATCTAACCTCTTTTAAGTCATATTTCCTTTTTAAATTACAGTTAACATACATTATGTTTCAGGTGTAGTGATAAGACATTTATATAACTTACAAAGTGAGTACCCTTTTCAATGAAGTCTTCTCTGGTCATCCTATCTAGACCGCTCTTGTCCCCCTTCCCTAGCTTTTCCCTTTCATTCCTCCATAGCACTTTTAACATTATCTCCTAGGAGAATATAAACTCCTGGAGGGTAGGAAGTTTCACCTGCTTTGTTCACTAACATGCCCTCCATGCCTACAACTCAATATATATTTCTTGAATGACTGAATCTTCTCCTAGGCAGTCCTGATTTTCTATTTAAAGTGGCTCTAGTGAGAAGCAGCAGACGGTTGGATGCATTTCAATGAAGGCTGTCTGCATCCCTTTCCCCGGACTCCTTCTGTCTGAAGAAGATGCTGCACTTCATCAGAGAGCACTCACTGGTCCCGATAGCGACGATGGTGACAGTTCGCTCACAGCCCCCAGCCCATGGCACTGTGCACTGACTTACGGAAGTGTAAGGCACGCACTATTCTTAGCAATTGTAAACTTCATTTTTCATCTCATTTAGTTCTTCCTGTCCTACATGACATTTTCCCCAAATACAAACCAACTAAACAAGGCCTTTGATGAAAACAATTGAAAGCAAGTTCAGCCTATTTCCAAGCTCTGCTGAGAGAAGCTGTCCAAACCCAGTCAGTGTGATGACTGAGGCAGGTACAGACACACCAGGCCCCCTCCCTTTCCCCTACAAGAGCAACAAGCAACAATCTAAATGTAAATCATTACAAAGCAGCCAGCCAAAAGGAATTCACCTTGCATGAGCCACAATGCTCTTCTTTGGGGATCCTTCTACACAAACCAGCAATGGCACTATTTGTATAATGACCCTATTTAGACACCCCCTCTCTCCTGTTTTTGGCAACAAAAGGAGAAAATTCTAGAGTAAAAGCTGTAACAAAAAAAAACAAAAAACAAAAAAAAAAATGTTATTTGTTCTGAGACAAAGTCCTAAATCTGGAACAACCTTATAAGAAATTACCCCTCAACGCTGGTGGGCGGGGTGGAGAAGAGAAGGGCCCACCTAAGAAGGGGAAGCAGTTGAATCCTTGGCACTTATTAATATTGTTAAAATTTAAAAGGCCCTGACATGATGCCAGCACACCTCAGACCACAAGCCCGTCATTCACATTGCTATCTGATAAAACTGTGTCTAGAAATGCAGAGCTCACAAAGCCAATTTTCACATGAATCTGTCCCGAACTGTCAAATTCGCTGTCTAGCTGCATAGCACCACCTCCATTTCTAAAGCAAACCTTTGCTCCAAGAAGACAATTTTCTTTCAATGTGGCAATGCTATCCAGGGATATTTTTTTATAAGCCAGGAAGTGATATATGAGGAACATATTTTAAAATGTATGGTACCTAAGAATGGGAGACAGAATTCATATTTACATAATCATAATCATTACTGATCACCACCAAACAACACACCTGATAGGATCTCCCAAGCCTAATCTCTCTTCTTCTAATTTCCCACCTCATCTGGCCAATGAGCATTCAATAACAAAACTAAGGACTCAGACTTCTTGATCTCATGCTGAAATATTCTTTTATCTACTTGACACCATAGATGAAGACTACTAGTTATTTGTTCCGGTAGGCAGGAGCCTGGAACATTCCTGAAATAACGGGTCCCAATGGAGGTTTCTGATGCTGCCAAGAGTGTCTGGCAGTCAATGTCCCAGCAGCGCACAAGTCTCAGGCCAAAGGCAACAGCATACAGAAAATCTGAGCCACGAGAAGAGTCCTCCCATGATCCTAAACCAAGACGCACACACTGTTGACCAGAATGTTATTTTTTAGAATCAAGGAGCTGTCCCTAGACATTAAGAGATCCATAACTTTTACTCTTGGAATATGTCCAATTAACCTTGTTCACTCAGTCCAGGTCTATTAAATGGAAAAGGAATCCTGTGCCCTCCAATGCCTTTACCACAAAGCGGGAGGGAGAATAAACTCCCTAAACGGTTTGCCATCACCATCCTCCACTCGGTGCCATCCAGGGAGGTGACTGTGTTATGCATCACTTCTTGGTGAAGCAAGCCATTCATTCCCTGGCATTTTCTCACAAGCCAACCTGCTGTTCCAATTAGAAGTTAATGAAATAAAGACCGGTCTACAGGATCATCATCATGTCTGCATAAGAAATTTACATCTCCTCTGCTAATTATTTAATGAAACTTTGTGCCATGGGGTGAGTTGCCTAAATAAGAGAAACAGATGTCCAGGGCAAGGATTCTAATTACATAATAATGAACCAAATAATTCAACTATTCAATTATAAATTTTATGTCCATTTAAAAAAGATCCAAACATAATCATACTAAAGGAATACTCATCTACAGTCCACATTTGAATAAATCTAACTGTGATACTTTACTTTTTGATCACAAACATAATACCCTGCAGCACTTTTAATTTCCTCAACAACGACAGGAAACACCTAACAGTCTACTTGCCTAATGTGAACTTGGGCAGTAAGGGTTAAATATGGAGAGAAAAGTGAACAGAAATAACTCTTACATGCAGCTTTAAATGTCAGAAAAAAACAAAACAAAAAACGAGTCCTTGCAAGGAGCATGCTCATTAGCAGCAGGCAGAGCTGTAGTGGCAAGCTAGAAAGTGTCCCCACCCCAGGAATTATGAGTGATTTCTAATTAAGATCTTTCCTAAAGGGCCAGCAAAGCACATTTTCCCCAAGTTTGCCCTTTCTTGAGAAAGTAATCTAGTCTGTATATACCCACAGAAGAGCTGCCACACTCCCATGCCAGATTCATAGTTCCTGGTACTTACAGACCCTTTCTTTCTCTGCCTAAATTTAACAGAATGAGAATAATATATCAGGTATTTTAGACAAAGGAATGTCTGATCAAGAATTACAATGTGATTAACCTAGAAAGAAAAATCTTAGAAAAAGTATTTCACCTATGAACTCCCTAGATTTGAAGGTAGCTAGTGCTTAATTTGTGACTTGAGAAACAAGAACAGTGATTTTATTTAAAACGCATTAATCTTCCAAAGAGAGCAATTCTTCTAATTGTACTTTCCTACCAAATCGCTAGAAATAGTGTTAAGACTTAATTCAGAAACAGTTTAACTGGAAAGCTTGGCTGGAGACAATAAACAGAGCTATTTCTTTTAAAATTCTGTTTTGTCTCTGACAGAAATTCACATTTGTCCCTTACTGTCACTTTTCTTGTCTTTATTACTCATGTTCTCTCCCAGAAATTTCCAAATAAATTGTGTCAGGCCTGTCAGCGTTGAATCCCCATCTCTCTTAATCTCCCGTCACTGTGCAGCTGGCAGTCTGCACACGGGGCTGCTAACTGACTGTGGCCTTCTGACACCAGGTGGGCTCTCAGCCCTTGGCACAGCCAGTCCTTAGAGATTAGGAGAGGGGGAGAAGCACCATGGCAACAAAGAGAAGGGAGCCTTCTTCTATTCACTTCACCCACACCTTCCCTCAC